AATTTATTTGTTTTAAGTAATCCCTCCACCCAACGTGGGGCTCACACTCACGACCCTGAGATCAAGAGGGGTATGCTTTTCCAACTGAGCCAGCCAGGCGCCCCAAGGACAAACTTTTCCTGTAAAGGACCAGATAACACATACTTAAGGCTTTAAAAGCCACACATGGTCTTGGTCACAAATTCTTTGGTTTTTCAACAGCCATCTAAAAATATAAAAACCATCATTAGCTCATGGGACATACAAAACCAGGCCACAGGTGGATCTGTCATACAGCCGGTGGCTTGCCATTGTTTTAAGCTACTGAGACTTGCAGGTCACCTTGTTACTGCAGCATAATATGACCTATCCCAACCAATGTACTACTATTTTGCATAGATAGCTTTCTGGTCTTTATCACCCTGTAATGCAACTATGAGCTCCACAAAGATAGTAACCACGTCTGCCATGCTTCTCTTGTTCACAGCCAGATGCGGCAGCTCAGGAGTTAACTGCTGAATGAAGAACTCAACGTCTCTCCCATAAGACTGTGAGTTCAAGGAACAGAGGACACGGCTTTCATCTAACATGCACCCTGACATGCCTGGCATATGATGGCATTTGATAAGCGCTCGAGTCATTGATAAATGTTCCATTGAATCAAATGGTTTTTTTTTGTTGTTATTACAGTAGCAACAACCAAATATCATTTGGGAAACATGGGGAAATGTGCACAGCCCTTTTGGTTGCGGGATGAACACGTGACCTCTTGAGTCATGCACTAAAGCCCATGTATAAAATCTATTAGCATAGTTGACTGAGTTTTATCTCTTCCTTTTTCTTTTCTTTTTTTTAATTTGGACTCAGGGAAGAAAATGGGAGCATGAGGGGCTTACACTAAAACGTGAATATTTGAAAAGGTCAAGAAAAGGTGGGTCTACAAGCCAGTTCACTCCCGGAAGATCCCCTCCTTCTGAGCCATTCTATGATGCTACAGTATGGGTTTTACTTGACAAGTGGCAGCACTTAGGGCCGACCTTGACTATGCTTTGCCCCGCATGCCACTGAGGCAGGTCTGTTCCCTCATATGGCATCCAAAGGTTGCAAATAAATGCAGAGGCAAGAACTGGGCATGTTTCACAGGACAAGTCATTAAAATATACAGTCTTTTAAATGGAAATATATTTAGACATTAAAATTAGACAACATTTGTAAAACCACACATAGCTAAATATTAGTATTATAAGAGAAAGTTAATACTTTCTTCTCTGCTGCCTTATGAAGGCAAATTCCCAGCTAGTGTGCTTACTACAAATAATTGCACACCAACCTCAATCTTAAAACAGCCAATTCATCTACATTAAGAAAAAGAGAGGTTCCTGGATGATTCAGTCGGTTAAGCGTCCAACTTTCGCCCAGGTCATGATCTCGAGCCCCGCATCAGGATCTGTGCTGATAGCTCAGAGCCTGGAGCCTATTCAGATTCTGTTTCTCCCTCTGTCTCAGTCCCTCCCCCACTCACCCCTGTCTATGTTTCTCTTTCTTTCCCTCTCAAAAACTAAACATTAAAAAATTTTTTTAAAAAGAATTTTTTTAAAAAATTCTTTAAAAATTTTTAAAATTTTTTTAAAAAAGAAAAAGAGAGTAATTTTATCTTTTCTAAAGATTTTCTTCTGCTTATATTTTCAATATATTTTGTCTCATGCATCTTAAACATCTCTTGCCAATTCTGTGTTTTCCTGGGAGTAAATAAGCCTTCTAGCACAAGAAAAGAGAAATGTAAAATATTCCAAGGCTGCCCCTTTGTGGTGACATACTTTCACATATACCACAGCCTATTTTTATAGGCTTTATGAATTGCAGCTTTATTTCAACCTCCCAAAATATGGGCATCTTCTACATTTGGTTTCAAATTAATGCTATACATTTTTTTTTTAATCTTTATCTTTGAGAAAGAGAGAGAGGAGAGACAGAGTGTGAGTCGGGGAGGGGCAGAGAGAGAGAGGGAGACACAGAATCTGAAGCAGGCTCCAGGCTCTGGGCTGAGCTGTCAGCATAGAGCCCAATGCGGGGTTCGAACTCACAGAGTGTGAGATCATCATGACCTGAGCTGAAGTCAGCCGCTTAACCGACGGAGCCACTCAGGCACTCAGTCTGGTGGTACTGTAAGTAAGTAAATAAGTAATGCCTTCAAATTTGGAAGGAAAATGACTTCCATCTGAGAATACTACACCCACCAAACTACCAAGAGTACAAGGGTCCCATAAAAGTATTTGTGAATGCAAGCATCCAAAAATTATAAAATCCCAAACATTCTTTTTTTTTTTTTTTTTTAGGAAAGTACTGGCAGATACACTTCAGCAGAACAGGAGTGATGAATCTCTAAATTCTACACCTGAAACTAATATTACACTGTGTGTTAGCTAACTGGAATTTAAATAAAAATTTGAAAAAGAAAAAATAAATACAAAGCAAGGGAAAAACACAGGATATAAGAGAGACTCCAATTAGAAAAGGAACAAATGTAAGTCTCAGGACAATGGCCGTGCAGCAGACCTAAATTCAAATCCAATCTACCTTTGCACCCAATCTATAGGAATTGGGTGTCCAAGAAAACAGAGTTAAAAGTAACTGCCCTGTGTGACCACATGAAAATAGTACAGAGAGGGCTTTTATAATCCTTTTAGAAGACGTGGGAAGAAGAAATAATAGGTATGTAGAAAAAGAAAACAAACAAAAAAGAAGACGATTATTAACTCCAAGAAAAACAAAAAAGGTCTATGAGAAAGGAAAGGTGATCAACACTGAACAATAATTATACAGTAATAATAATGTCAACACTGAATATTGACTTAACGCCAAATTGTGCAATAACTATATTGGAAGGATAGATCAGGAAAAAAAGGAAATAAGAAAACTAAATCCTCAACTATCACAATAGAAAATCAAATGTCAGAAGAAGCTAAAGAGAATTAAAAGTGATCATTTTAGGAAAGCAGAACTGGGGATTGCAAAAAGGGTGTTTCTTTATAGAATTTTTAGCACTTCTATTTTTATTTTTTAGCACTATTTTATTTTGTCAAGTATTTTGATGTGCAGTACTGATTACAGAAAATAAATATAAAAATTAAGAAGTTAAGTTTAGACAGAAAATCAAGCTACAATAAAAAAGTAACCTCGGGGCGCCTGGGTGGCTCAGTCAGTTAAGCATCCGACTTTGGCTCAGGTCATGATTTCATGGTTCGTGAGTTCGAGCCCCGCATCAGGCCCTGTGCTGACAGCACAGAGCCTGGAGCCTGCTTCCGATTCTGTGTCTCCCTCTCTCTCTGCTCCTCCCCCGCTCATGCTCTGTCTCTCTCTCTCAAATATAAATAAAAATGTTTAAAATGAAAAAAAAAAAAAGAGTAACCTCAACATCTTTAAATGTAACCAAAGGAAATAATTGCAGCTGATCTTAGTAAGAAAATAAAGTGCAGCATTGGCCAAAACTCAGAAACATGGCCTGAATAGCCATCAGAGACACCATATACCAACACAGAACAAATCTGTTCAATCCTATTTAATAACATATAGATATAATAAATTTGATTTTTAATAATTCTCATTAACTTATAAATTAAAATACCTGTATGTTTACAAATAGGAAAAATTATTAAAGAAACACAAGTTAAATTTAGAAATAGAAAAAAAAATAAAAGCTCGTAAGTTTTTAAGATAAGTAAATATTTTATATTATATTGAAATTATAATTAATTTCAAATGATTAAGCAAATGTGTGTCCAAGATGAAGATTCACAATTCTTTGGTCTCATTTTATATTTCACAAAGTACTGGCTTGGAAATATTTCCAAGTAACTTTGCATTGGAAGTTATCTATAGAGTTTCTGTTTGGGGCTGCTTTTTATATTTTAAACTAAGATATGATGCTCTACTATAAAAATCTGGACAATAGATCTAAGTGTTGTTACTGGAGACACATGGTTGTGGTAAAAGTGTACATTTGGAATTGACCTTATGAGGAATTAGATTCTTCTAAAACTAACAGAATCAGCTTTAAAATGCTATAATGTGTCTCTCACATCAATAACATTCAGGGAAGTGATCTCCAGAGCTGAGTGCCTAAGGCAACCCATCGGAGGGCCCCCCCAAAATCTTGAAATCTGTGATTTTTTAGTGCACCCCTTTATATTTTATTTGTAGACTTATATACATTATGTCAAATAATTGTACAGTGCTATGTGTATAGAATTTATAAGTGAGCATATTATACTTTGGCAGTGTATTACAAAAAAAATGTTTTACCAATGGAATGTCATGAGCAAAAAGTATTCAGAGACCACTGATTTAGATATGTGTAGCCCTACTTAGAGTTGGTGAACAATTCATAGTCTATGAGAGGAACACAACTATTCACGAGTGAAAAGCAGGAGAAAGCTGATGTATCAGTCAGGCTGAAAAGTGACTTTTAAGCTACGATTGAGAATTACACAGTTGTGGAGATAATTATACAATTTTATCTAACATTAGACCTACCTGCTTCAGTTGAAACTATTTTGATAAAAACTGATGCTGAAATATACAAATGTCTAGAATTTTCACAGCCTTTGATATGTACACTTGTCACCCATTTAGCACAGTCTCCGTTAAGAGTTCAAAACAATGCACTCACATGAGGTAGAGAAAAAAACCTAGAAACCACTGAATTGGGAAGTAAATCCTGAAGCATCCTACCAGTACTTTATTCTCTCACATGGGAAAAATGCAACTCAATCAAGAACTACACCAGTGACGTCCAGTTTAGTAGCCCCTCGTCACATAGGAATGTTTGCCTCAATGAAAACTTAATAGAATTTAAGATTCACATCTTCAGTCACACGAGCCACATTTCAAATGCCCAAAAGCCCCACACTGCACAGTGCAGATACAGAACATTCCCTTAAGTCCAGAAACTTCTATTGAACAACTCTGTTCTTGAATCATATTCAGGAGTTCTTAAAAACTTTGAAGATTCTTATACTTACTCACTGTTACTTTGTCCTTATCCCCCAACATAATGTTGTTTGGCGTTAGATCTCTGTGGACAATCCTCTTTTCCTTGTGTAAGTACCGAAGAGCTAAGCACAGCTTGAAGCAGCAAATAAAAAACAAATTTTATTTCCCCAAATACACACGTAACCGCTGATGATTACTACACACATCTCTAAGAAATCAGCTCAGAAATTCATTGTTGTTTTAAAAAAGTAATGAAAATGAAAGTGTACCTGTATAAATATTTTCCATAGTCTTTCTTCAATAAAATGATGCTGTTTTTCCTTCAAAGAACTGAAATGCTCTCCAAGAGGGGCCCCTTCTATCAGCTCCATAACTATATACAACCTATCATCTATGAGAAAACAAGGGAAATATAACAGAAATTTAAATTCAATATATTTAGAAAAATGCATATGAATTAGAATCTGAGCTTCCCAGTGTGTATGCAGGGCACGGCACTGAAGGAATTAGAGAGGGGCTAAGATCCACTCAGCCCTGGGGGCGATGGGGGTGAGGGGCTCTCCAGGCAGCTAGAGCCTAGCGACAGTCTCTTCCGGCCACAGGCTACCTCCTAGCATAAGTTTATGCTGGCAAAAATGATCATTTTCGACACACACCAAGATGTGGAATGACTGGGAAGTGCTAAAGAGAACGAGTATATGATGCCAAGCCCAGGAGCCTTTCCTGAAGAGCGTTCCTCTCAGTAGTTTAAAATTTTACCCTTAAATCATGTCAGACATTCAGAAAATTGTATTTTTGAAGCGGACTGTTGCCCTAGCCTCATTGATGTACCTGACAGAATTTTGCACTGGAATCGTGCCACGGTCTTGCAATGACACAGCTGAAAACACAACCCATGATGGAAATTTCTGTGATGCCCCCTCTAGAGCAGAGAGAGAGCTGGACTGCCAGGGGTTTTATCTTAGGGCGACTGGGAACCTCATAACGGTGCTCATCTCCTTACCTTGGGTGCCAAGAAACAAAGCAAATTCTACTTTCTCCTCCAAAACCGATATGAAACTATTAACAATGTAGTGATATGCGTAATCTGTGATGTTTTGGATACATACAAAATATGTATGTACACAATATTTACAGAAATGAAATCGCACGATACATGTGCCACCACTTAATACTCTTTCACCCAACAGCCCGACATATCTGTGCACACAGATCCGTGCCTTCTTTCTGCTGCCTTCATAGTATTCCACAACACAGAGGGATCATCGTTTACTCTCCTAGAGGTAGACATTTGTATTGTTTTCCATTCTTCATTATCCCAAGAAGCACTCAGTGTATGTACTCATCTTACCCCTAGCATAACTTTTCCTCTCTTCTATTAATTGACTTTCTTTTTTTATTGAAGTATAATTAACGTACAAGGTTGTATTAGTTCTGAGTGTGCCGTGTCTGTACGTTACTCGGCGTACTCTGAATTCCCTTCCCCCGTCTCACCCATCCCCCATCCCTTAGCTTCAGTTTTAATTTGCTACCTTTGAGTTCCTTTTCTCACAATTCCCTAATCTCTTTGATCATATTTTAGGTATTTTTAAGCCACTTCCAATTCTTTTCGGAAGATGTCAGGTTGTAAAAGTTGTATTTTTTTTCTAATTTAAGATAAGTTGTGTCACTTCAGTAGTTCAAGTCAGAAGCCAATCTTGACCTCTAATGGGATGTGTGCTAAATTGTAAGAAATGACTCTAATATCAAGAATTCTATTATCAGGGGGCCAGGATTTACTGGACAGTTTCAGCACTGTGTTCCTTTGACTCATCCAGGGGGAGGGAGATGGACAAAATCAAAAAATGCCACAGTACACAATAGGTTTGCATGATAATAGCACTTACAAAGAGGCAATGAGGAAGTCCCAACCACTGCTTTGTACATCCTTCCTCCAAATGATTTACTTTTAAACCTCATATGCGATGCACATCATCAAGGTTTATCAGTACTTTCATTGTTTCAGTCAAAGGTCCTGCATTGTTTTAAACCTGTAACTGAATTTGGCTTTACCTCAACCTTCCGCACCGATGACCTGCCTGCAGAATCAGTCAGGGATCCATTGCCACCTTGTGGCCATTATCGGAACTTCAAGTAAAAGAAATCTCAAAGACGTAGCCCCTGTGAATTTATTTGGGGGCGTGAAAAATGTCATCTAAGCCAACAAAACAATTTTTCATCTTGTCTTGAATAAGCCATGATTCTTAAGTTCTCTCATTGTTCTTAAGCTTCTTAAGCTTCTCTCATTTTTTTAAACGTTTATTTTTGAGCGAGACAGAGACAGAAACAGAGACAGAGAATCCCAAGCCAGCTCCGCACTGTCAGCGCAGAGATGGATGTGGGGCTGGAACTCATGAACTGTGAGGTGGTGACCCGAGGCCGAGATCTTGACCTAGGCCAAAATCAAGGGTGGGACACTTAACCGACTGAGTCACCCAGAGGCACCCCCTACTTTGCTTCTCACCTGATCCTACTAAGGTTTTGTGTGTGTGAGAGAGAAAATAGCCCAAATAACTGTTTGCTTTGTTCATGCGGTGTCTTTCAGGCAGGAGTCTAAGTCCTTTATAGCTGTATCTTTAGGTCATTGATTATACCACTGTTTCACTGATGAAGAAAGAGATGCACAAGGTCTTCCACAAATTGAGAAAATAGTTAAAAAAAAGAAAAGAATTGATTAAGCATATTTTGTGACATTCTAGTGGAAAACTATATAATATAGGAACTTTTCCTTAATTAGAAATATCATGAAGTGCTCCTGGGGGGCTCAGTCAGTTAAGTGTCGGACTGCAGCTCAGGTCATGATCTTGTGGTTTGTGAGTTCGAGCCCCACATCGGGCTCTGTGCTGACAGCTGGGAGCCTGGAGCCTGCTTTGGATTCTGTGTCTCCTTCTCTCTCTGCCCCTCCCCCACTCAAGCTCTGTCTCTCTCTCTCTCTGTCTCTCAAAAAAATAAACATAAAATATACATATATATATATACATATATATATGTGTGTGTATACACACACACACACACACACACACACACACACACACACACCTACACATGTATCATGAAAACTCATACTTACTTTCCAGAAATGTTTTGTAATAGCGTACAACATTGGGATGATAGAGCTAGAAGAAAATAAATAACAAACATTACATTACTTCAATATATAAACTTGTTTTCACAATTTAGTTGGACTTCATATTTGAAAACAACAAGAAAATTACTGTATTTATATTTATCTATAAAATTAAGCATTTTAAGATATCATCTAACTGAGATTTGAGATTTTTTGGGATTCTTTTTATTTGCTACCTACAAAACTAATCTGAAAATAGCAATCTCCCATTAGAGCCTTTTATCAAATAAAAAAAACTGACGGTGTTTTATCACCTAATTTAACATTTTAGGTAAATTTTAGAACTCAAAGTAACCTGAAGAATTCATTTAGCTCTCCCCATCCCAACACCACGCACACACTGCATTGAGAAGAAACAGAAATGAAGGAATTTGTGTTGAATATGTATACCATTGTTCCTTACCACTCCTTACCACTTAAATATTTATATATACTGTTTGTTTCTATTTACATTTTGTGTCTTTCTATGCTCTCCAAACTGGTTAGTATGAAACTGAAATAATCTAAGACTTACTAACTCCATTTAAATTATAATAGTTGGCGGGGCGCCTAGGTGGCGCAGTCGGTTAAGCGTCCGACTTCAGCCAGGTCACGATCTCGCGGTCCGTGAGTTCGAGCCCCGCGTCGGGCTCTGGGCTGATGGCTCAGAGCCTGGAGCCTGTTTCCGATTCTGTGTCTCCCTCTCTCTCTGCCCCTCCCCCGTTCATGCTCTGTCTCTCTCTGTCCCAAAAATAAATAAACGTTGAAAAAAAGAAAAAAAAAACTTTAAAAAAAAAAAAATTATAATAGTTGGCAAGGACACCCTTCTTGGCCAAAATTTGGTCAGGTTTCTCTAAGACCTCTTCTTGACTAGGCCTCATTCTTGCCCAGCTTTGTTTCGTCAAGAATCCTGCCAAGTCAGGTTAGCAAGAATCTCCCCACTCCTGATATCCAATCAAGTTCCTCATCACCCCATCTTTGATAGCTTAGGAAGTTCTTTTGAGTAATTTTCCATCTATTCACCCCCCTCACCTGGCCTGTTGGTTGTAAATACTAGCTATTGCTGTTGTATTTGGAGTTGAGCTCAATCTCTCTCCCCTGCTGCCATAGTTTGACTTCTATCTCAATAGTCTTGAGTGAAGTCTTCCTGGCCACTTTCAAGAAGCTTTCAGTGCAATTTCTCTCTTGTTATTGTAATGTTTATTTATGTATTCTGAGAGAGAAAGTGTGCAGGGGACGGGCAGAGAGAGAGGGAGAGAAAGAATCCCAAGCAGGCTCCACAGTGTCAGCTCAGAGCCCGATGTGGGGCTCGACCCCACAACAGTGAGATCATGACCCGAGCCAAAATAAAGAGTTGGTTGTTAAACCAACTGAGCCACCCAGATGCCCCTACAATTTCTCTCTGATGTAGGTTTACCTCAGGATATCACATGAAAATTCTGCTTTTTCGAAACTTTCATTTTCTACAAGTATACTAAAATGTTTATAGTTGCTTTTTTATAATTTAAGTGTCTAGGCAAACTGAAATTTCTTTTATCTCAGAATTGTTGACATTTCATTTCATTTCATTTACAAATGGCTTGCGTTTCTTTTTGGTCTTTCTTCTTGCTTTTTTGAAGGGGAATCTCGTAACTGTCCACCAAACTCCTACCCGCCCAATCCTCCAATGCAATTGAGTTCTAGTGGAACATGGCTTCCCACGAGTTGTATCTCTCAGCCTCTCCTGTAGCTATGAGAGGGACTATCGCTAAGTTCGCACCAAGGGTATGTAAGGGGAAACGTGTGCTCCTGGGTCTGAGTCCTAAACGTTGGGAATGCCCCGACCCTCACGCTCTTCTTCTTCCCTCTTTGGATGTGAATATGCCTGTGGTAGTTTCAACCCTACAGATGAAGACAATGAATGCCCTAGGAGGCAGCAGCACAGTAAGAGAGGAAGAGCCAACATCCCCCAGATGACTGCGTGGAATGGAGAACATTCCCAACCTGGTCCACTCACTCTGGATTGTTACATCAAAGAGAAATAGCCCGTTGCATTGTGAGACCTCTTGTTTAAGCCAATGTATTGTGGAGCCTCTTTCTTACTGCGGCTTAGTCTTAATCTTAAAAAATATACTCTCCTTTTCTAGTTCCATTTCTGTCACTTCTGTCTGCTATCCCCTCTTCCTTTTAGGACTCAGGGTTATTTACTATCCTTTCCATTGGTTCAGTCCTCTGCTAAGAGTGCAACTGTACAATTTTGAGTTATCTCAAAGTCCAAACACGTGCCTCTTAAATGTCCCCGCCCGGACATTTTCTTTTCTTAGGAAATGTGCTAAAACAACATCTGCCTCATCAACTCTCCAGTGGCCAGCAGATTTTAAACAATAAGGGGCCAGGTAAGCAAAAGAGTCATATTCTGGACCCTAGCTCACTGGCCGGGACTGTATCCAGATCGGAGTTCAAATGACGATACTAAATCACCTTACAGCAAAAGCCACGCTCCAGCCTTGTGCTAGAGTGAGAGAGCACACTGCCAAAGGTGAAGGTGCCCTCAACACGAGCAAACACTGGCTTCTTAAAATCCAGTCTGTTAATGATAGTATTTACTGTAATTTGTGAACTGGAGAAGAACTACAGATTTCAGTGAATAAAGATCATATATATTTAATAATCTTTAAGTCCCAGCACAGACACTATACAAATTTAACTCCTGGAGAACACAACGCAGTGAAGCTGGTGGTTCTCCACAGGAGTTATAAATGAACAGTATCCACGATGAATGTATAAATAAGGAAAGCTGAAAAAGAAACCCATGTATTCTTGGATCACAAAATCCAACCTCACTTCTCTTCTGACATGTTTATTCTTTCTCCCCAAACACACCTTCATAATGATAGGTAATTGAGTTGTTACATTATGTCAGAATATTCAACTCATGCCAATAAATAATAACCCATCTTGGAAATCTACTTTTAGATTTAATAAGCTGTATTTGAAGAATGTTAACAGCTTGATTCCACTTGACAAAAGTCAGGGAACTGTTAGTCATATGCTTATGCATGTAACTAAGTAACCAAATATTCTCTACTCTAATGAGAAGGAAACGGATATGCTTGCAATTTAAAAAGAACGATGTTTCATATATGAGGCATTCTCTTGTAAACTCAGTCATTCTGCACCCCAAACCTTGATATAAACTCCAGAAAGTCTTTCTGTGGTTCAATGTCAAGCCTCAGGAAAAAAATCTAACTAAAATGTTACCACTTCAATGCCAATTATTTTAAACAGAACCAGTTCTTAAATAGCATGGACAAGAATAGCACAAGAACTCTACTGATGACATTTAGGTAAGGTACATATCTTCATAAACAAGAAAAGCACTTACCTGCTCTTTAATTATGGTTAATTCAGAAACAATATTCTTTACACTGCTGTCTCGATCTTTTTTATCCTTTCCAAATGCTGGGTTATGTAAATTGACCTCTTTCATTGCCAAAAGATTTTGACCACTACACTTTCTAACCTAAAATAAGACCAAAAAATAAAATAAAATAAAATAAAATAAAATAAAATAAAATAAAATAAAATAAAATAAAATAAAACAAAACAAAATAAAAATAATAATAAAGTGGGGGTAGAAAGAGGGGGAAAAGAGATAGATTAATAAGTCACATGATTCAACCAAGGAATCTAAATAATCTAAATAAGCAACAGAACTTTTACAATTTTATTTGTATGTACCCTAAAATCAGTTCAAAAAACTGGTTCTCTCCTGGGCGGTCTGCACCATTCAGTAGGATTTTACCGGGAACCTATCGAAAACTCTGGTGTAAATTTAGAGAAAGTGTCATGCACTAGGACAAGCCATTTTTACTATTTTTTGGTGAGACATTAATAATGGCTCTTGTCTTCAAAGACCAGTGGCCAATTTCTAGAGCTGAGAGCTGTACTGAGATAACATCAGTACAGCTATCTGATGGGCGAAAATCTAATTTGCGTATCTATTTTCCAATAATGAGGGCGCCAATCCGGTTGCATGGGTGTGTACAAGTGGGATATCTGGTTTGCTTGGGAAGGTCAGAGAAGTGTTCTCCAAGGGCAACGTCACCTTGTAAACACAGCCGAAAGCCCCACTTCCAAGATGATCCAGAACTGCATAGTTGCCTATGTATTTCAAAGGAGCTTTATTCTGATTAATGCTTTCAATATTTTCAGCAATTTGCTTCAGTTCATCATCCTAACCAAAAAAAAAAAAAAAAAAAAAAACCAAAACAAGGAAATGGGCACTATGATAATTTGCATCCTGCCCACACAGCAGCCTGCCCAAGTATTTGAAACTCAGGACTTACCGCTAACAAATTCAACTTGGATACCAATTCTTCATAAGCGCTGATATCACGAACATAATGTCCTATATCGATGAAGATCTCAAACAGGTCGGTGGGAAAAAGCCTACAGGGAAAATGCACACACATACACTTCATGTAGGTCTTGGTAACTGTTCCTCATTCCTTCCCTTTGGGAGCTAACCCATTCACAGATTCATTACATTAAGCAAATTTAACTTCCTTAGGATATCAACAAAGCGGGGGCAAATAGTACTCACCAGCGTATCTCACAAAAATGAACAAGAACTACAGTTCTTAAGGGATAAGGAAAAGCCACCAGAGAGGAAAGTTTCTAGAGATACAACACTGTGCTTACAATTGACAATACTGGGCTGTACACTTGAAAATTTGTTAAGAGAGCAGATCTCACGTTATGATACAGGATATACAAAGACCTTATTTGTGAGATATTTAGGGGTGCAGGCATTAAACATTTGGGGAAGGAATGTTTATGGGGTGTTTATGGAGTGCTGAACACTTACATAAATGCCATTTGATTCAGTCCTCATGTTAACCCTAGGAGGTAAATACTAACCCCATTGTTAAATGTTTCATGAAAATAAAATAAAAATACAGGTAAATGAAAAAAAAAAATGGAGAGATTTATGCATCCTTTCCAACGTACTGGTTTCAAGGGCTTAGTAAAATCTTTTAAGTCCACAAAAATGAAGGGTTTAGGGCCTTGAAATAAAAGGTTATAATAATTTTACTCACTTTTTTTCCCTCAAATTCAAGGATCATTTGTAAATAAAGTAACAACATAAAATGTTCCTACGCTTCTGAACAAAAGGCATTATATTAACGTAAGCTCTTATTTCTGTTCTGCCGTTTAACAATAGAATCCTAGTAAGAACTTGGGCCTATGATTTTGGCCAGCCTGCCCGATACAATGCCAGGCAGACCACACATGTAGGTGACTGTTTTCTTCCCAAGGGGGTGATGTTTCTGTCACACTCACCAGCACAGCCTCGTGAGCCAAGAAAACCCAGCCCTTTCCCCTTCAAATGAGCACCTACCCTATGAAAGACATCCAGACAAATACTTTTTCTATGGATTAAGAGCAAAGGATTAGGCCAACTTTGGCATTTCTGAATGCATAAGAACAGGCATATATTTTGATGTCATCCATTTAAAACATTAACTCAACAAGATACTAGCAAA